ATGGAGTGGCTGAGGAATCCATCAAATGAGCATCGGGGAACTCATTTGTACAGAAACATTTTTTTATTTTTTTAAATTAAACGGGTTTTCGGGTTGACCCGGTAACCCGCCGGGTCAACCCGACCCGACCCGTTTTATCAAATGGGTCAAATCTGTGAACCCGAACCCGACCCGTTTATCAAACGGGTCGGGTCCAACCCGGATTTTTCGGGTCGGGTCCGGGTCGGGTTGTCGTGTCGTGTCAAATATTGACACCCCTATCCGGATTGTAGTCATTTTAGCGATCGGGCTAAAGGTTTATGTATAGTTTTCTCCAAATTTTTGTTCGTAGCCTAAGGCGACCAGTCGTGCTTTATGACGATCCACTTGTCCTGTAGGAAGAGTTTTGGTCTTGTATGTCCATTTATAGCCTAGGATGCGGGTGTTGGGCGGTGGAGAGACAAGCGTCTAGGTGTTTTGTTGTTGTAGTGCGTAAAATTCGATCATCATAGCGTTCTGCCAGTGTGCTTGAGTTGATGCTTGCTTGTACGTGACCGGTGTGGAGGGAGTGGTACCTGTGCTGATAAGAGAGAAGATAGGTTTGGGTTTGTGAATACCTGATTTAGAATGAGTTTGCATATGATGGCGTTCTGGTTGGATGGGTGCAGTAGTTTGTTGTTGGATGTTATCAGAGATTTCCGTGAGCGGAGCCGGGAGCGATTGAGGCTGGGTTGGTAGCAAGGAGATGTTTTGTTGCTGTACCGAATGATGGTGAGTGGTGGAGTGAGGGACCAGCGTTAGGGGTGGCTGAATGGTGTGATTGTTGTCCGGCTGAGTGTTGTGAGTAGTGTTGAGGGTGGCATAGGGAAATATGTGTTCTTGAAAAACCACATGCCGAGATACCTGAGTCTTGTTGGTTACCAGATTGTAGCACTTATAGCCCTTGTGAAGAGCGGAGTAGCCTAGGAAAATAGACGGTTGGGATCTTGGAGAGAATTTGTTTGTCGAGTAAGGTTGAAGCCATGGATAGCACATGCATCCAAAAGTTCGTAGGTGGGTGTACGTTGGTGGTTTATTGTGTAGTTTTTGTGTTGGAGAGCTGAAGCCGAGGGGAGTGCAAGGTAATCAGTTAATTAAGTAGTTGGCAGTGTCTACCGCATCTGCCCAGAATTGATCAGACAGGTGTGAAGCATGGAGGAGAGTTCTGGTGAGATTGAGGAGATGGCGGTTCTTCCGTTCTGCGAGACCGTTTTTCTCCGGAGTGTGGGGACATGAAAGTTGTCTGATGATCCCGTGAGTTCGCAGATATTGAGAGAATTCGTTGCTCGTGAATTCTCCGCCTGAATCGGACCTGAAGATTTTTGGTGTTGTATTGAATTGATTTTTAATTAGGCTACATAACATGTTAAATTTGGTAAATGTTTCTTGCTTGGAATTCATAAAATAAATCCACGAGAAACGCGTAAAATTATCAATAAACACAACAAAATAGCGAAACCCATTGAGGGAAATGATAGGCGACGGCCCCCACACATCCGAGTGAATTAGTTCAAACGGATCTGAGGTAGTCGTGGAGCTTTTATTGAAAGAAAGCTTTTGGCTCTTGGCCACTTTACAAGATGGACAATGAAAAGAAAATGAAATATTCTTGAAATCTGTAGAATTTCTGGCTAGTTGATGAAGAATTTGGTTGTTCGGATGTCCAAGACGCACATGCCAGGTAGAAGAGGAGTTGTTCGAAGCTTGAAGAGCAGTTGGGCTGCGGTCCGGAGGGATGTCGAGTTGGTATAGACCATTATGGAGATGACCACGAAGAAGAAGTTTGTGGTCCTGAATATCCTTAATATCAAAATCGTTAGAATCAAAAGTGATAGTAATAGAATTTTCTTGCGTTAATTTTGAAACCGAAAGAAGGTTGTGTGTGAGGTTTGGCACATGTAAGAGATGGCAGAGGTGGAGCTTACGAGATGTTTCTGGTAGGGGTAGCAAACCTTGACCGTAGTTGTGAATGGGCATAGAGGACCCATTTGCGACGGTGACGGAGTCAGGGCCACTGTAGTTGGTCGGTTGTTGAATGTTTTGACTGTCGTGTGTGAGATGATTTGTTGCCCCTGAGTCTAGAACCCAGCTATGAGATATAGTTTGGGTCAGTTGTGCTAGCATGGCGCGGGGTGCATTTTGAATTGTAGGAGCGTATTTGTAATTTGATCTGTGCCAACAGTTGAGGGCGATATGGCCTATCTTGCCACAAATCTGACAGGTTGGGCGGGATTTCGTAGCAGGGGTGTTCGTCTCACCGTTTTTGGTTGGCCTAGGGGTGGACGTTCTGTTCTTGTAGAAGCGTTTGGGATTACGATTCTTATTTTGATTGACAGAGGAGGCGTAGAGTGCGGAAGCCGAATGTGTGATAGAATGTTCTTTATGCAAATCTTGATTGATGTGTATCTAGTCACTGCACAACATGGAGTAGAGATCGTCAAGATCGACTGGTTTGGAGGAGGTGCGTATGGCGGTTTTGAAGGCGTTGTAGGACGGTGGTAGGCCGTTCAATGTGTATAAGACAACATCCTCCGGATCGATTGTTGTCCCGGCAGCGGCGATGTTATCGATGATATGCTTGATGCTGGAGAGGTATTGTTGCATTGTTTGATTTTGCATTTGAACTTGGTGTAATTCATTTTTAAGTTGAATTACACGGGATCGGCTAGCAGAATGCAGCCGTCGTTCAAGAGTGGCCCAAACTTCTTGAGAAGAATTTGCGGTGATAACATAGTGAAGAAGAGCGGGCGAAATGGTAGAGAAGAGTGCAGATATCAGATTGCTGTCGATTAGTCGCCAGCGTGCAAAGTCTTGGGAGTTGGTGTCAGTGGGAGGTGCGATCTTGCCTGAGAGATGATCTCCATAGCCGTTGGCGGATAGATTTTGAAGGATTTGAATCCTCCAAATGTTGTAATTTTCGGTGGTGAGTTGATGGGGTATGAGGTTCTTTAAGTTAGAGATAATGAACTTGAGAGATGCCGGTAGAGTAAGCTCGGTAGCCATGGCTGAACCAGCGATTAGCGAGGAGGAAGAGGGAGGGTGGGTAGATTCAGATTCTTGATCTCCCATTTCCGGCTCTAGATACCATGAAACGGTTCTTAAGGAGGAAGAAGAAGCAGGAAGAAGAGAGAAGAAGTAGAAAACTGGAAAATATTATTATGTAAATAAAACGGTGTACAGAGATATTTATAGCAGATAAAAGGATAGAAAAGTAAATACAAGTGGTATAGTATAACGGTATAATGTGCAGCCACTTATAGTCTTAAATAGACCCTTAATCTAAATAATATAATCAATATATTAACACATTGATTAGCCTAATGCATCTTAATCTTTTATTGTCTAAGTGTATGCACACCACATCATCTAATGTGTGATAAGCAACATTTTATTTCTTCATAATAAAGAGTATTCAAAAGTCATTTCAAACCGATTGTTTGATCGAGGGATGGTGAGATGAGATCATAGGAGAAGACGCGATCCACTTGGTTGCTACGATAAAGGCGAATGGCTCTAAGATACTCAAGATTGACGTGTCAGTTGATGCGGAGCATTTTAGATTTAAATATTTCTTAGGACATCTAATTTAGTTTGTTATAAGTTTTCAGAATTTTTTAGGTTTTCTCTACTCTTGATTATTATATATAGAATAGTATTCTCTTTTAAGCCTTTGAGCATTGTGTTTGTCCCTGGATTGAGAATTCCTTCAAGCAGATTCGATTCTTCTGCTGATCTACTACATCATTAATTAATTAGATTTCTTTCCCAGGTAGTTACGCGGATAAAGAAATATTTCAACACTTATGCGAGGAGTTCTATCAATGACATAAATAATAATTTACATGCACTCGAACTAAAACTCAAGTTTAATATTCTTCACTTTAAATAAATTATTAACTATCTCAATTATATGTTCATTATTTCTTTCGACTATATCATTTTATTCTGAAGTACTTATACAAGTATCTTTATTGTGAATTCTATACTTAGAAAATAAGAGAATTCTTTAAATGTACATTCTTCTCCACCATCAAATCTTATGCAAGAAATTTTAGTTTGCAATAAATTTCAGTTCAAGTTTGAAATGACCAAAGTTTTAAAAAAAACTTCAAATTTGTATTTAATAAAATTAACACATAAGAGTAAGTTAGTAGCAATGGCTTATTAAATTTGATCCCACCCACTTGAAAATGAGGCCTATGCATTTTCCCACGATGGCAATAGGCATAAACAGCTCCAGCTTTCACCTTCAATTGTGAAAGGATCAATGGCCAACTTGTTAAAGAAAGCATTCTTTATTTATGATTATGAATTCCATCAACAAATCAAAGCATAAATTATAACATTGTATTCTATCTCCCAACTACTACAGATTAAGATAAATTTATAAGTAAAAGTATAAATATTTTTTTTCCATAAATATCATTAAAATCAAAATTTGTTATGGGGGCGTTGCCCCTCGACCTATATTTGTTCATATTCTTAATCATTATATGCTTCACAGATATGTCAGGGGTCCAAGCTAGGGGGGAGCGCCGCCTTACGGGGTTCGACCTTCCCAATCAGGTCGTTGGGTCAAGGGGCAACGCTCATCTGGGGATTTCTGGGGCAACGCCCCTGAAACAAATTTTAGTTGTAAGGATGTTTTTGAATTTTCTTTACTATTTCTCTTTGTATTTGGTTCATCGTTCCCTAACAATAATATCTTTATATAATGTGTTTAATTATATTGAGGCAATTGCCTAAAGTCCATAATATTTTAAAATTTTTAGGGAGAGGAGGGGCGCAAATGCGCAATTGCCTAAAAATCTTTATAATAAAGACTAAAAAATAAATAGAGAGGGGCAATTAAAGTTATACTGGAAACAATTAAAGCAGACGAATTAGTTATAAAGGTATGGTTCAGACTGCAATGACAGCACATGAATGATCAGGATGTAACAGTCAGAAAAAGGATGCAACTTTACATTTGCTGACGAATCCGGCAAAATTACGTCGATAGTACTAAGCTGCGGAACCTTATCGAGCCGTGATACTAGTAAGCGAAAAGTGACATAACGTATTCTGATTGATCTTGAGACGAAATTAACCCTCCGCACAGAATAGTTTTTCCTCAGAGAACGGGGAGCTGAACAGTTTATAGCGGCACTTTTATAGAACTTAACCGAGAGAACATATCTCATAGCAGGATTAAACAAAAAGGTGCAATTAACTCGCACTTGCATTCTACAATCTGAAATATTCCAAGAAAAGATTGCGATATATAGAGTTATATAGACAGTATAGTACAAGCCAACACAAATAGTTCAGACGCCTATATTACTATAGCTGAAAAGACTGTAGAATCAAGAGTACTTGTTGAAGAAGCTCGCCATACGCTCCATGAACTCCTCCGCCTTCAAGCTCCCAGGCTCAATAATGAAGAAACAATGATCCTCCCCCTTCGATTCCAAAAGCTCCGCCTCCCCTTCCCACCCGCTTTCCTTCAACTTCTCGTAGTAAACCCTCCCCCTCTCCCTCAACAGATCCAGCTCGGCAATGCACACCAACACTCTGCGGCACCCCAAAGTCGCCAGGCTTGGCGCCCCCTCCGCCGCCGGATTGATCCGCGAGTCATCAAGCCCCGTCGCCCCCGGAAACACAGTCAGCCACAGCGCATTGGCATCCTCCACCTTCTGGTTTTTCCCCTTCCCCGATTCTAGCTCCTCATTTCCAATCCTGTCCTTCCCCCAAAAGAAAGAATGCACCATCACCAACCCTTCCACCTTCTTCCCCTCTCTCCCAACTCTCATTCCCACGTTGTGCGCTATGTTTCCCCCCGCGCTTTCTCCGGCGATGAAGACTTTCTCCAAATCCCCAAACTTGGATAGCCAAGGGTCTTCGGCCGCTAAAATCCATTCCAACGCCTCCCAGCAGTCGTCGTAGGCGGCGGGGAGCGGGTTCTCAGGCGCGAGGCGGTAGTCTACTGAGACGGAGAGGATGCCGGCTTTGGCGGTGAGGGAGTTGATGTAGTTGTGGTAGATGGAGGACGAGGAGCGGATGAGGCAGAAACCGCCGCCGTGGATGGTGAGGAGGACAGGGAGCTTTTTGGGGATGCTGGTGGCGGAGGGCGGGAGGTAGAGGCGGACGGAGAGGCCGTTGGTCGGATTGATGGTGATGTCTTTGGATTGTACGCCGGTTGTTGGATCGCGGGACGGGGGGACAAACTCGTCGGGCCTGAGGCGCTCCACGCGGCCGCTCCGGTAAATGCAAATGGCTCCGGCCAATTCAAAGATTATGTCGTCGGAGTCGACGGGGGGAGCCGATGCGGCCGTGGAGTTCATTATTGCATTGGAGTTTCAAGTTTCAAGGAAGGTGAAATGGATGAAAACGGATAAGGATGAGATACTGGATTCATGGAATTTTTATAAGGTCCGGACACCTGACGTAGCTCGACATCCGAATGCCAATAAAATGTAGTCACGTGCTCTTACTCTTTGCCGTGCAGCCCGACGACCCGACCCGGAATGGAAATCCGGTATTGCTATATGTTCGTGTGTTGCTAGGTGTTGCTCGGTATTGCAGTATTGCTAGGTATTGCTCGGTATTGCTAGGTATTACTTTAACAATAACGAGAAATACTGCTCTATCAAGATCAATACCGAGCAATACCTAGCAAAACCAGGGTATTGCTCGGTATTGCTCGGTATTGATAGGTATTGCTCGGTATTGTTAGGTATTGTTCTTGACAGAATGGTATTTCTCGTTACCGAGCAATACCTAGCAATATCCTGGTCTGTACAAATCAGCTAATACATAGCAATATTGGGTTCTGGTTGTCATCGGGCCGCGCGGTAAAGAGTAAGAACACGTGACGATATTTTATTGGCGTCCAGATGTAGAGCTACGTCAGATGTTCGGACCTAATAAAAAATCCCAGGCGCGTAAGTATGACTAATTTATTTAAATATTATATCAATTATGTATTTTGTTTATATTTATCTAAGATAAGAGATATTTATTAGGAGAAATTTGCGATATGATATACAAATATTAGTACATTTACAAACATGACCATTTATTTTTATTCATAATTATATTATCTAAATTGTAAACACCATAACAAAATTGTGAATTTAAGTTTTAAATAATTTTAAATTCTTTTATGTATTATCTTATAAGATAATTTTTTAAGTCATTCTTAAGCTTTTATTTGGGACGTCTTTCTTATTGTTTCGTAAAACAAATTTTAAATACAAAAATTTAAAGTAATTTTCTTATTGCTTTTTAAAATAGCTTTATACTAAAAAACTAATTTAAGAATAAATAAAAAACCCTCCCAAATAAAACATAAATCTCTCGTAAATTATTAGTTCTTTTCTCATAAAATTAATTAGTAACTTTCATATATGAATCTATCAATTCTAGGGGTGTCAATTTCGGGTCACGGGTCATGTTCAGGTCGAACCCGGAATTGACCAGACACTGTTCGGATCAACCCGAATCCAACGAAGTTTTATTTTCCTCTTCCTCGTCTTTCTCTGCTCTCTGCTTTACTCTGTGCTCTTAGCTCACATTTCTACACACTTGTTGATCAATGACAAAATTAGCTTCCATAATTAGAACATATTTAGGTTCTATAAGCCTACCATCATTCCCAAAGGGCAAAATCAAGTTAATGAATTGGTATAATTTAAACTAAATACTCATCCAAAGCAACAATAAGCTTTTGTTTGGGACGATTAATGCAAACCTTTGCACCGATCGAACTGCTACAGAACCTGCAAGAAGAAGCAGCAAAGAGAACAAAACAGAACTCCGGTTCTGTGTAGAAGAAAGCTATGTTTCTGTATTCAGATAGTATAAAAGTTGTCTACTCACATTTTCCTTCTCTCCGTATATGTATAATACTTCTTTCTATAATAGTAAAAACAAGCTACCATGTGTAATAGTACTATAAAACGGAAAATAGTAAAAAGGATAGTGGAGAGCGAACTGGCAGTTAGGAAATGGTATGCTACTCCCCTTGGTAACGTGTACCACATCAGTCCTCCCCGTCTTCAGAAAAGCTCGACTCCGACGAGCTAATTGCAACTATGGCGTCATCCGGAGGTGTGTATGCCCAAATGTCTGCTACGTTGAAGGTAGGGGATGTGTTGCAGTCGGGTGGCAATGCAACCGTGTAGGCATTATCATTAATCTTAGAAATAATAGGAATAGGTCCAATCTTGCGACGGGCTAGCTTGGAATACGATCCCGGCGGGAATCTTTCACACCGCAGCCGAACCATGACTAAGTCGCCTTCCTTGAACAATTTTTGTCGCCTGTGGGCATCTGCAGCTTCCTTATAGTGCTGATTAGCTTTAATAATTTGGTGACGAACGTTCTCTAACATCTCCTTGTAACGCTCCGTGAAAGAAGAGGCAGCCGTCAATTTGCATTTAGGTAGCACAGTAAGATCAAGAGCGATGTTAGGTGCCTTTGTATAGACAATGCTAAAAGGGGGCTTACCTGTGGTTCGGTTCGTCATGGCATTATAGGCAAATTCAGCTTTTGCAAGGACTTCTTCCCACTGTTTCGACTGTTCTTGAACAAGGCATCTCAGCATGTTGCCCAAGGTTCGATTAACGACCTCAGTTTGGCCGTCAGTTTGTGGATGATAAGCCGAACTCAGTCGAATATCTGTGCCCAATCTCCTCCATAGCTCCCGCCAAAAATGGCTTATGAATTTCACATCGCGGTCGGACATAAGACTCATCGGCAGACCGTGCAACCTGACAATTTCATTAAAGAAATATGGGCGATATGTGCGGCATTTGCCGTTTTCTTACATGAAATGAAGTGGGCCATTTTCGAGAAGCGATCGACGACCACCAAGATGGAGTCATTGCCGTGCTTAGTTCACGGTAATCCCAAAATAAAGTCCAAACTGAGATCTTCCCATATGGAATCTGGTACCGGCAAGGGCATATATAACCCTGTGTTTTGAGCTCCTCCTTTGTATTGTTGGCAAATTGGGCAACTGTCTATTAGTCGGTAGACATCTCTACGTAGTCGGGGCCAAAAGAAACGATCTTGTAACACCCGTAGAGTGTTTTCACGGCCAGTATGAGCCGCTAACCCGCCCCCATGTGCCTCACGGACCAGCTGCTGTCGCCATGATGATACAGGAATACAGAGCCTGTTTTGCTTGAATAGATAACCATGTTTGAGAACAAATTCTGTGCTGTTTTCATCCTTTTGGCATTGCAGCCAAATGTTGTTGACCTCGATTTTGCCTAGACCCGAGCCTGAAGGGTTGACTTGGTCAAGTTGACCAAGTCAGACCCAAAGACCCTCTCCAATAGGCTATTGCCTCAAAGCTTTGCTGTTGCTCCTCATGCCAAAAAAACTGTTTGGATTTAAGGCAGTCCGTAATGGGTGCTAGGATCATGCTGAAATTTTTGATGAATTTTCTATAAAAATTAGCTAAACCATGGAAACTTCTTACTTCAAAAAAAGACTTGGGTGTCGGCCACTCTACCACATCTGAAATCTTCCTTTGATCCATGTGTAAGCCTTCGGCCGAAATCAGGAAACCCAAGAAATAGACCTTGTCAACAGCAATTTCACACTTAGGTAAATTAACAAACAACCTTTGTTCTTGCAGCACTTCAAAGAGGCTTCTCAGATGCTCAGATGCTGGCAGCGGTCAGTACTGTAGACTAAGATATCATCAAAATAGACTATGCAAAACTTACCCAAAAATGGTCTGAGAATTTCAGTCATGATTCTCATAAATGTGGATGGTGCATTACACAGCCCGAAGGGCATTACCTTCCACTCATAGAGGCCTTGGGGAGTTTTAAATGCAGTCTTCCATTCATCCCTTGCCCGAATCCGTATCTGGTGATATCCGCTCCTCAAGTCTATTTTTGAGAAAATGGACGAACCAGTTAGTTGATCTATTAGCTCTTCAATGCGTGGTACAGGAAATCGATACTTGACTGTTATTTTATTAATGGCCCTGCTATCAATACACATACGCCAACTACTATCTTTCTTCGGAACAAGTAATGCGGGGACTGCACATGGGCTCAAACTGGTTTGAATCAATTGTTTTTCCAGCAATTTATCAACTATTTCCTGTAAAATTCCTTGCTCTTTCAGATTGAGCCTACAGTGCGGTAAGTTCGGCAATGATGAACCCGGAATGAAGTCTATATGATGCTGAATTTCGCGGAGAGGAGGCAGTTCAGACGGCAATTCAAACGGCATGATGCAGGTAAATTCTTCTAATAATTCTTGGACATCTTTCTGTACCACTGTTTGTGTGCTATTCTCATTTGGTTCTGTCAGAAACAGGGCATACATTGGAGATGGCTCCTGCCAGCAATGTAATAGCGTAGGTCCTGTCACCAAATGCATGGCAACCGGTTGTGTCGCTTTTGCCTTCTGCAATTGCTTTTCACTGCTGCCTGGTAGTAGTCGAAGGCGTCTTCCCTTCCAATCGAATGAATACACATTCGCTCGGCCGTCATAAGTTGCACCAACATCATATTGCCACGGTCGACCAAGGATCAAATGGCAGACGTCCATTTCAAGAACGTCGCATAAAACTTCACAAACATAATGTTTGCCCAATGAAAAAGTAACACGGCAAGAATCGTTGACGCTGATTTCCATACCTTTGCGAACCCAGCTTATTTTATATGGACTTGGATGCTTCGTGGTTTTTAATTGCAAGCTTTGAACAACTGACCGAGAAATGACATTCTCGGTGCATCCACTGTCGATCAACAGATCACATACTTTGCCATTTATTGTGCATCGAGTTCTGAAAATGGCATGCCGCTGAGAATTAGGACTTTGCCGGGGAGCTAATGGCAGTTTTTCCAATACACAAACTAAGGGTTCACCCTCATCAGCCTCAATGTTTTCAATGTCCTCCTCTTCATCGAATCCAGCATCTTCGGCCTCCCCATCATCCTCACCTTCTGCTAGATGGACTTGCTGCCGCTGAGGATATTCATTCGACTTGTGGCCTGGTTGAAAACAACGGAAACACTTGAGTGTGGATGGCTTAACATACGGATTGTCTTTAGGCTGCAGTCTGGTTTTCGGTTGATTCTTGGTCTCTGCCAGATTGACGGGTGGAGTAGGCACTGCTGGTTGTGGTTTTCCCACTGGCGGGATATAACTCTTATTGCTGCTGGAAGACACTTCTTGCCACGGCCTGCGCGGATGGGAGCTTTTCGCCTGCCTATTCTGTTGTATCTCCGCCTTCATAGCGAAATTCACAGCTTGTGAAATCGACCAAACAGAATTCAGCTCCAATCTATCTTGTATGCTCTCCTTGAGTCCTCCAATATATCGGGCCACTAGTTGGTTATTTGATTCATTAAGGTT